TCGTGTCGTTATCATGATGACGCCGTATTCTCGTACTTCGAATGAGCAGTGATATTACGCGCTTTGATTGGTTCAAAATAAATATCGTCACATGATTTTGTATCGTAACCCTGCCACGAGAATAGATATCTCGCATTACCCGTGACGCTTGTTCAACTTTAGTTTTAATTATTACAAACGTTCCTGGTTTATTCGTTCATTCGGCACTGACAGTCCGCCGTCTAACTGCGATCATAATTTCATTTTTGGGAAAATGCTATACCGTCATTTCATAAAGTTAAAGCCTTCAGTCGTTCTGTTTGGAATTTTAAGAACTGTGATATTGATGGCACACTGTGGTGTCCCCGAGAAAGATATAAATGAAATTCGAAGTGATTGGATGAGGCTGTTGAATGACACACTTAATAATTATTCCAAAGAGGTTAATTATTGTTCGGCCTACAGACAAAACGTGGATGAAGAGTGAAGTTCGCTTAGCAATTAGAAAACGAATTTGGCTTTTGAAAAAAGTTTTCTCAAAGGAAATCAGATGTTTTATGGCGAAAATACAAGCAGCACAGAAACTTAACGACTTCTCTGATACGTCAAGCTAAAATTAAACACTCCGAAATAATTAATCGAGAAATTTCGGACCCGTCAACAACCAAGAAAAAATGGTGGTCTATTGTAAAATCCATTTATGGTAACATAATTCCGACAACTATTCCTCCAATTATAGACAATAACATCATTACTGATGCTAAACAAAAAGCACAACTTTTTGATAATTTTTTTGCAAGTCAAGCAACCGTTCCTAATCAAACCAAAAATATCCCAGCTTGTTTTCACCTTCCTCCGGAAACAATAACTGTCTTTTGTCCGATTTAAAAACTTCCAATGTAGAAATTAATAAGATTATAACCTCCCTGGATGTTTCTAAAGCTTGTGATCATGATGGGATCAGTAATAAGGTCATAAAATTATGTTCCCCGGTAATTTCTGTTCTGTTGACTTTGTTTTTTAATGAGAGTTTGAGAATTGGTAAGTTTCCCAAGGAATGGAAAATGTCTAATGTAATACCTTTGTTTAAAAACGATGATCATCAAATTAAAAATAATTACCGCACCATTTCTCTTCTCCCATCACTTTCTAAGATTTTGGAAAAGATCGTTTTTAAATATTTATACAAATTTCTTGATGATAAATGTTTCTTTTATCCTTTGCAATCGGGTTTTCCTCCGAGGGACTCTACAGTGAATCAACTGATTTATATCGTTCATTCTATATATGAAGCACTTGAAAATGGCAGAGGTTCGTATGGTGTTTTTGGATATTAGTAAGGCTTTTGATCGTGTCTGGCACAAAGGTCTTATCTACAAACTTGAGGCTATTGTTATAAGAGATCCTCTTCTTAAGTGGTTTCGAAGTTATCTTGCTGATCGATATCAGTGAGTTGTTATCGTTGGTCAGTGTTCTGATCGGATAAATATTACTGCCGGCGTGCCACAGAGCTCGGTTTTAGGACCTTTACTTTTTCTAATTTGTATTAACGATATTTCAGATTCTCTGGAATCTAGATGTTTCCTGTATGCAGATGACACATTTTGCAATGAAAATAATCGGTTTCTTGTAAATACTGCGCAAAAATGCCTCGTTTTCATGTCTGCGCAAAAGCGCTAACAAAAGCGCTCGCATCTCGCGGGAATCGTCTCTTAACACTCATCCAGACAAAGCTATTTTGCAGTCAGTCACCTTTAGTGTAAACTTCAACTTCACATAATGTGAGGATTCCCCCATGATTGTCAAACGTGATAGTCAAGAACCGTCCCATCATGCTTTGATGGCAGTAGATAGACGTTCCAATCCCAGAGGGCAGTGGGCCCTTCACACTGTTACAAACGGGATTGGATTTACCACCATTGCTTGAACTCCCACCTAGTAATGAAAGATATTAGTGTTATTAATCATTTCATACAAAGACATTAAAACAGCTATTGTCCTCGCTCTTTTTTATTGGCCACTTGAGAAACGAGTGAAGGATCGACTGGAAACAAGTATATCAGAAGGTATTGATAATTAATGTTATTAAAAAATATATTTTCATGACGAGAAAGAACATCACAACTAACAGGTTTCTGCAGTATGGCATTGATTGGCTAAGTAACAGCTAAATTATAAGCAATCAATAATACCAAAAATGATAAAGAAATGTTTGTTCACTAGGGACAAGTGTCCTTAGTAACCATACTTTTTTTTTTGTTATTTTTCAGATGTTTGAGAGGTTGCTACACAAAAGTTTTTAAAACCAAAATCTTGAAACTCCAGAAATCTACTGATTTCGATGAACTTTTTTTTGTTATGGTTTTTTTTTCAACTAGGTTAATTTTTAAAAGCGCGTTCACAGTCCTCAACTCGTTTCCAAGTGGCCAATTGTCCTAGAGAAGCACGGGTGGCGTAGCGGTGAGAACACTGGCCTTTTACCAATGTGGCCCTCGTTTGCCGGGTCTGTGTCCACTGGTAGAGCGAAGTTTGGGATTGGACAAAATAACAAAAACAAAGAAAGCATGGATTATGGTGAACAATATTTATTGTTCTACATGTGAGCTGCCTTATNGTTTCTGCAGTATGGCTTTGATTAGCTAAGTAACAGCTAAATCATAAGCAATCGATCAGTATGTTCACTAGGGACAAGCGTCCCCAGTAACCATACGTTTCTTTATTATTTTTGAGATGTTTCTACAAAACCAAAATCTTGAAACTCCAGAAATTTACTAATTTTGATGTACTCTTTCTTGTTATGGTTTTTTTCAACTAGGTTAATTTTTAAAAGCGCGTTCCCAGTCCTCAACTCGTTTCCAAGTGGCCAATTGTCCTAGAGAAGCACGGGTGGCGTAGCGGTGAGAACACTGGCCTTTTACCAATGTGACCCGCGTTTGCCGGGGTCGGTGTCCACTGGTAGAGCGAAGCTTGGGATTGGACAAAATAACAAAAACAAAGAAAGCATGGATTATGGTGAACAATATTTATTGTTCTACATGTGAGCTGCCTTATTTGTTTTATCTCACCATTCATTGTTTGTTCATCCCCTTCCAGGCTTCGTTCTCCCGGTTGTGGATTATCCGTCGTTCGCTTTCCGAACTCGGCATCGTATGTGAATAGAGTACCAATTTTTACGGAAAAAAAAACTATGAATTTGTAAATAGCTACCCGCATCGACCAGCTCTATGAGTAAATGCAGCCTTAATTTGGCTGACAAAATCACGACGCCATTCCAAAAAATGCAGGTCGCGTTTCAAAAGGAAAATGCTTTAGCATGGGTGGCGTTCGCGGCTAACGCGTCGTCTTTCAGCACTGTGAGTTTAACGGGTTCCTGGTTCGAGCCCTGCGGTCGCCACATGTGAATCGAGTTTGTTTGATGTGTTGTTCTCTCCTATGCTATGAGGGTTTTCTCCGGGTTCTACGGTTTCCTCCCTCCGTAAAAATCAACATGTGAGTTAAGAGTTGTGTGTATAGAATATTCGAATGTTGTAAGGAGTGTGTGTGGAGGATACACGGCCCCACAAGCTCTTAGCTTTAATGCCTACCGCGTATAAATAAAAAAYATTTTTTAATGCTTCTTCACAACGTTAATTATTCACCTAGTCATTCTTCTGTGACGCCCTATTGTTTAAATTTAGTATTAAATAGAATTATTTACCAATAAGAATTAGAAAGTCATGCAGTCTCTCGGAGTTAGTATCCCTATTAACAATGAACACCTCATACACAGGTATACTCTGACCAAGATCAACCATCCACCAGAGCTCGTTGTCAGAATCGGCCGTGTGGGTGCAGCTTTTACCAGTATCATAGTTTGGATTACGATTCCCATCAACTGCACGATCAGGCGGTCCACCCCAACCAGTAGTGGACTGTGTTGCTGTTTTATGGTAGGCGTAGTTTACTTTAGAGGCTGAGAAGAAATAAATAGATGTAGTAGATAATATGTTACAATAAATGCAGTCACAACAACCTTCTTAGATTAGGGCGTGACGTTTTTTCATTTCAGACCACCAGCCATTCCTTAGAGTATTATTTCTTTGTTTACCGGTTGCGCATGAGAAGACACATAAATATGAATACGACTCAAACATTTTTYCCCCCTCAAARCATGCACGTGGTCCCAAATGAGAAAGCATTCACTCAAGGAAAAGAGGGCTGTTCCATCTCTAAAGATAACTATAAGGTTTTTTTATCTTACCTGACTGGAGTTTTACTCCATATATCTCAGCTCTCATACAAACAGCTCCATGGTGCATTGTGGGTAGGATACGTAGATATCTGGCAATGATTCCTTGGTACAGAATCTGCTTCACGATCCCAGAATTATCCACATTACCATAAAATGTCTGAAAATGCACCAAAAAATGATATGAATACTTTGGTACGCTTTTTAAAAATTTCAGTCTTTGCGACCTCTGGTCGTGTACCTTTTATCAGACATTCAGACTTTTGGCTGGAAATTTCATGTACGGAAGCAAAAACTCGAGAAAACGTGACAAATCTGTGTCGCAGAAACATAGACGCTAATCAAATGGTGCATGTATATTCCCATGATGAAAA